TCTACACACACCTGATGACAACATTTTGACATAGTTTCAAGTAACTATTCTACGTTTTTTCTCAGTAGACTGTTGGACAAAATGCTATTTCGTGCTATTTTCAAATATAAAGATTAATACTTTCTAACATCATTTTATTGCAGAAATGAAATGGCTAAAAAGTGCTTTATCAAATGAAAGTCAAAATTTGTTTTAAGGGCAAACAATTGCAGTGAATTGATTTGTAGAGAGCTCAATCTGCTATAAGAAAACAATTTCAATAAATTGGTTGTTATTCTATTTCTATAGAAAAGACGTTGATTTGATTGGAACCGTCCGACACACAAGTTTATCTCGCATCAATGCCTACAATGTTAAGCTCAGGTTCTACCTGCCACCCTATGCAGAATACATTAGTGGAACTTACACGAGTGCACCGCTTTACTCAGCTGGTTCCTTACAGTACACGACTCAACAGAGCCAAAATGAAATCGTTATAAGTGTGAGTATCGTATTTTTCTAGCACACAACACAGGTATGACATATGATAGATACAATCTTGGCAGAGATCACAGAGGGTCAAATATGACAAAAACATATCTAAGTCCATTTCATTTTGTTTTCTAAACCATATAGAGTAGGAAAAATAATCTGAAACAAAGAGATAAAAACTACATGTCGCATTATAAAAAGCAAAGAGTGGCACAAAACTGTTGCCTCTCACCACAGTGGGCAGGTACGTACTGGTAAGAGTTCACAGCTTGGACTCACAGCATTTATTAAGTTGGAATTGTTATGCTTTATTAACGTAATCTAATTGTTGGGCTCTGAAAATATTTGTTTTTATTCACGTTAGCCATTTCGACAATTTTTTATAATCAATTGTAACAATAACTTATGCACAGATCAACATTTTGAAATCTTCTTAGTATTCGAAAATTGGTATCACAGACCAGCCAGATTTTAAGTTTGCTATCAAGTTCAAAGGAAGTGAGTTGGAACTAGGAGAAAGAGACAGATACAATGGGACAATTGAATTCTTAATGTCATATTGCAACAAAACCGATTGTTCACCTAATGGCGCTATCAACAAGTTCACAAAAATTATCAGCAACAAATTTAGAGCTCAAGAGGACAGAGGTAAATATTATAAAAAAACCAATAAAGAAAGTAAATATCGAAATACAACCTCAGTTATTTGATACGGATATGCCTTGAATGAAAATTAATTTTTTAATCGATTAACTTTTATTATTCAATTAATTTTCTTTCATCCTTTTCAACCCTGGGAAAATAAATGACTGGTTTACGGGAGGCCATGCTAAAATATGCAAAAATATGATTTTAAATATTGCTAAAAGGAAACTAATAGTTAAATTTATTTAAATCAAATAAATTTTTTGTTGATCTAAAAGAAATAGGAAAAAACATAGTTTTTCTTTATTCTTCATAAGCAAATCATCTTGTAACACCGAACCTCTCAAAACGTGCTGTTCAAAGAGCAGGCAGGCTCCTGACCATGAAGTTTAGATTTGTCATTTCGATCGAAAAGAATGTTGTTTTATGATTGAGGCAGTCCTCTGTCCTGGAGTCAAAGAGCATGCGCATAGTACGAAGTTATTGTCACGTAGGCTCTCTGTCTCCAGGACTGCTTCACCCACTTGAAGATTCGTTTGTTCGTCTACCCAACAATTACTAGATCTAACAGAAATCGAAATGATTAGCCAGTTTTCAAACTTTTATGATTGGTCGATTGTGGTGGGATGAAACATTAATAAGTACCTGTTGTGTTGTTCCATTGTAACTTTGGCTCTGGCCTTAAAACACTTCTGACGAAACATTTTTCCATCGATTTCAGATAAATTTTACATCAAGCATATTGCGTCTGGAAGATGTTTGTCATATGCTAACGGTGATGAATATGTCACGCTCAAAGCAGCCTGCAATGATGTCTTCACTTTTGATGCGAGAGGGGGTGTAAAGCACGTCGCAACATCTAAGTGTCCGACCTATACTTCAAACCTCAAATTAGGGATGTCAACCTCAAAATGCGATTCGCCAATGTCATTATTTATGACAGCTTCTGGTCTGTTCCAAGGAGCTTATTGGGGAAGTCAATATTTTTTATCACCAAATGGAACAGGTCAAGAAGGAGAGACTTTATCGAAGGAGTCGTCTTTTCCTTCAAATGCTAAGTTCATGTTTGTTGATGGTAAGAATTCATTTTGTCAAGCAATTTACAGTCTTTCAATATACTTTCATCAAAGTTATCTTTTCAAGACGTAGGAGCCGAAGGGCATTTGGCACACCCAACTTTTAACATCTTTCGAAAAAGTTCCCTAAAAACTTTAAAGCGTGCACTTTACTTTGTGCCTTTGCAAAAGCACAGAGAGCGCCCTTCTTTTAATTTGTTATAGAGCAATTAGAGCCTTTTCACATCCTTTGTTTTCCTGCCAAGACTACCCTTCCCTTTGCCTGTCTCTGTCTGCAATGGATTTTGAAGAGATATGGGGCCGGGCTCACTTGTATCGAAGTTTAGATAGATGATCTCACAAACCTGACAGTCAACAAAAGGTTGATGAAGCTTTTCGTTACGGGCACATTACCGCTGTCACAGGCAGAGCCACTGAGATGGGGGTGGTGGTGGCAAGGGAGCAAATTGCCTTCAGGCCCCTGCAGGTAGAGGATCTTTTAGTGATAAATTACATAATAAGAATGAAATTACTTCAATGTATTCAAACGAAATTATTCAAACGATTGCAAGAAAATGACTGCAAGAAATATTCTGAAATAATCTAAAGGACGTAGTGGCATAAACTCTCTTCTTTCAGTTTTGCCCCTGGGCATCGGGAACTTCTACCACGGCCCTGGTGACAAGTTCGTCTTGCTTGCTTCAAGATCACAATGGAAGCTTATGAATTATCTGAAATTTGACAAAGTCAGCAATAACGTTTATTTTGCTGGGCACCTAAATGCGGCACGAGGTGTAAAGATGCTACTTCCAGATGTTATAAAGCCCACAAAGATTTATCTATTAGCCTCTATGAATGAATTGTCAGGCAAAAGATCATTTTCTGTTCAAATCAATCCCCCCCCCCCCCACTCTCCAAACGCTTTCTGCGTCTCTGAATCTTTAACCTTGGCAAGACCCACTAAAATGGAACAAGTGCTAAAGTTTAAATGAAAAATAACATTTACCATGAACAAAACATTATCGATATTAGCTTCTTTTAGTATGCATGCACAATTTGGTAGTTATTATGATTGTCTAGAATGAAAGATATATAGTAAGAAAACTCTATTAAACTCAATATCCTGTACTTTTCGATTAAAGCGCATGTGTAAGGAACGAAAAGTTTCAAACGTTTATTGCAAAACCATGTCTAACAACAATGGTAATTTTTGAGGGTTTTTTATCGTTGCCTTCTTTTTCATTCCTCGTCTCGCGCATTGAATGAGTTATTGGGAAGAACAATTTCTTTTATTAGCTGTGCCAGCAAGCAGCCGTCTTCAAATGGGAAACAAGGTTATCTTACACTCAGGAAGCAGCGAATTCTTTTTTTGTAACAGGCAATCGAACTTGTAAGTAATGACTCACTACAATAGTCGTATTTCAGTAACATTTAAATGTTAAGCGGTGTCAAAATTACTTAGATTTTCGATAGCCCAAAATTATTTTCTGCACAAACTGGTGTAGTGTTTATATAAATTGGCTCCATTTTTAACATAGCAAATTTGATAGCAAAGGGTACATCTTTATTAACAGTTGATATACGCTTAAACAAATTCTCTGTGGAAAACGCATCCTTCTTCTGCGACCTTCAATTTAGTAAACTTGATTCGTAGTTTTCTTTAATGTAACATCGCTTGATAAATACTTGCGCAACGTTCTTAACTTGCAAAAGATACACACTAGAATATTCCAGGTCATCTAAAAGCAACAATGTTTGACTTAATCCTTCGTTGGAGACCTGCTCTAGTGACTGTATAAGAGGTTAAGACTTACTTCCATCAACTTTGCAAAATACGCATAGTGGTTTCATTGTATCACGATTACCTCTTCAGCCTTATTTTAAAACTTTGCGCTATTTGCCTAACTTTTAGCTTCAAGTCATCCTGTTTCTACAAAAACGGAACATATGCAAGCTCTGTAAAAGGTACGTCTCCCTATATATAAATCAAGCCATGCTAAAAAATGAACAGATCATCCTTTGCAAATATATTCAAACAAAAAAAATTATCTTATTATAAATAGAAAGAAAGGTCGAGCTAGAAATTTCATGTTGAATCTTGTAAAGGCCTACACTTTTGACACGTTTGTCGTAGAAATTTCAATTTGATTGTATTTTTTAGTCTGTTTTTTTTGCTAGAGTTCTTTACACATTTTGTCCGTTTCCCTTCCTTTACAAATTGCAAAATAAAACATTTTGTAGATGTAATGAATCTACGTTCGGATTCAGGCTAGATAGAAACAAGCCTATGTTTTTGCTTTTCTATAGCGTTGCCCATCCACTTGGTGTACGTTAAGGCATGGGACGCTGCTAAGTCTGAGCTGTATGGCATTGGTTACCATGGAGCAAGCTACGTTAAGATAAACCTGAATGTATTCCCGCACGTTGCTTATCAGTTAGACGATTCTACATTCACAGCTGTTTTGAGTCAAGGGGGAATCAAATCAAGCACAAATATTCTAGAATCGTCGCTCACAGATTATCCCGTACAACACTCGACCTCCGAATTCGCAGGTAGATTTTCAATTGATCCAATCTTCTTCTCTTATCTGCTTTGCTTACTCTGTCAGGAATTGGGTACAGACTTGTGATTTTCAAAAAATAGCTCTATAAGAATGCAGCGTAAATCTAGTAATATGAAGCTTTTTTTTTGGAAATAAATGCACTATCTATCTATATTTGGGCTGACTTAGGAATCAGGCTATAAGCGTTTTTCTATGTTTATAGTGTCATTGAAAGGAGTTTACCAACAAGATTCTTCTACCTGGAAACTTGTTTCACGCTGGTAACTATGAAGAGAAAGTATGGCCCCGGATAAAGATGCCAGATTCTATCTGATGCCGGATGGTAACAGCTTTTGAACATATCTTTAACAGAAGGAAACTTCTTCTTACGTTTAATGCACGTTTTGATGATGTGGTCACTTGGTCACACGGACACTGTCTAAATGGTTTCACACAAGTTATAGTCACTCCTCATATGACTGGGGATTGAGAAAAGTTCACACAGGTTTATTTGTATCACATTCGAAAGGTGCTTCAGGTGCTTCAAGATGCTTCGAAAGCCTATAAAGAATCAATTTCATGCAAATGCAAGTATGCGGCTCGTCATTGTAACCAACTCTGGCTCTGCGAGGGAGACTGTGAAAAACAATGACATGTAACGAACTATTTGATCCAGAGAAGCTGATATTTGCATCTTTTTTGCTTGTTTTATTTTGCATTCAAGTTGAACTCGTCATTGTGTTTGAAATCTCCTTTAAAAAAAAGAAAAAAATGAATGCATGGCCATAATTCGTACTTTTCCGTGATTTATTGGTCTGCATTTTGCCTTACCAAGAGTTGTGCCTGTATAAATTTTTTCATTTACAATTTGCTTTATATTGAGATCGGATCAAACTACTAAGCAACAATGTTTTCTGCATTATTACCAAAAAAAAGCTTGGGAAGTCTTAGAACAAGTACATTTGTTTGATTAATTGCGACTGAATAACATATTTGATATGTTAGATTTGAATTTTAAAACCGTTTCTTGTCTACTTGTAAAATCATCCTAGCAGTTAATGGAATTTTACTTGTTAGATAATATTATTATTAGATTCTGCACGCTTAAGATGATATGCCAGCATTTATTAATTTTGTTTTTCTGCTTTAGAAACCCGTTTGTATATGTGTTTTCTGAAATATCAGAAATGCTAGAGAATTTCAGGTTGTTTTACGCATTCAATAGAGTCCAGTCTTTATGGGACTTAGCTAACTGCAGCTCTGGTAAAGCAGGACATCCCAGTCAATCAGGGTGTCGCATACGCACAGGGCTACAAACCAAGAATGCATAATATTTCCATTTGCTATCGATTCTTGTAGCCAGAAAAACTATTGATTTTCGACTCTGCGTGGAGCTAATCAGGATCTTGATAATGAGCACGTTCCTTTGAAGCCATTGGCCAATTATTTATGCCTCCAATAGGCAAGAATCGATAATCCACTATTCAGTGATGACTATATCCACCCGCATAACTTTTCAGAATTCTCCTAGAAACGGTTTGGTTTCTATAAATGTAGAGCCTAGTGACAGAATAGGAATTACTTATGAGGTTAACGTCAGAGTGCAAACACCAGCCCGAATTCATGGTTCCTTTCACAATTGAAAGGCTGTTTTGAAACTTATCATCTCTTAGAAGACGCGTTTTCTTGCTAGTAGCTTTAATAACATTTGTGATGATAAATCAAGTCTTAAAGATGTCCACCATTGGCCTATTAATGGTATGCTGAATTGCGGTTTTACTTAATTCTTTGTTTCATTATATTTGTTGTCACATTAGCAGAATTCGAGCGGTTGCTCTTGTTCGGTACCAGGTTGCAGAATGATCATCATAGAAGTCTTGAATTATGATTTACAAGCATGTTCATCCTAAGATTGCCTGCTTAAAATCGTAGGTTTTTTAGCATATGGGACAGCTTAAAATTGTACGAAGACAAGAAAGTGATCTTTTCGTTAGTTTTGATCAATTACAAAACTAAGATAGAGCAATGCAAAAACTTTAGAGCCAAAATACAAAAGACTGCACCAATTGTGGGTCTAAATCTAAGCTTTGGAACTTAATCAGCAAACTTTATCAGTATACCTAAGCAAACAATAGGCTAAGCTTTTCTTCAGTACTTGTTAAGAACCATTTTGATTTTATTTCTGCAGAAATGGAAACTTGCAATTTTTTTTACAAATATTATCAAACACGATGTGGCATGTAAGCTTCATTTAGAAGAAGTACACGAGGGCAAAAATATTCAAGACCAAATGCTTTCACTTATTTAATCAATATATTTTCTGGATAGCAACAACCTGAAAATAGTTTCAGGCAGTTTTTCGGGACTTGTAGAGACACCTTTTGTATCTGCCGGTTGAAGAAAGTTGGAAAATGTTTGCCCTTGCCACAACAATATGTCGAAGACCTTTTTAGCATTCTATTTTTCCAATGCCTCATTACCTTCTGCCACAGCCGGTTTTAGCTTCAAAGCAATCATAGCACCGAAAGAAACACCTCAGAAAAGATTTTTTGATAACTTTTAAATTTCTTTTCAATGATTCTTAGGTCTTTTATTGATTGCAGGTCCTTGTGATTGTCGAGAGAGCATTCTCTTCGGGTAAGTTATTCATTGCACTTCTTCAGAATGCCAAATGTTTTTCATTGGTCCGTTTCATTTTAATGTGCGTTGCAAAATTTTCCTGCCGTCAGTTATTTGCTAATTTCTCTATTGTAGCTTTAGTTGGAAATCACTTTCATGAAATACATGGATAACATTATAAGTTATACATAATCTTATCAATATTCTATACTTTATTTGACAGAAGTTCTCAAATTAAGCAGTTGAAAATCCTGTCCTAGGCCCTTGCTCAAAAACTTGCTTGAAGAATCGTAGCTAACATCCAATCACTTTTTCTCTTAGATCCAATATTCAAATTCATTCCAAAGAGCTCACTGAGTAATCTTTTGGTACAACATGTCTCCGAATATGATATCACGATGGCAGTTGGCTCGAATCAAGCAGCAAGCACCGTCATCTCAATTAATGGCCCCTTTGCTGATGGGCATGCTGGTAAAAATCGATTACTCCGCTTATTTTCTTTAGGAAAAATATATATGGCTAGTTTTAAATGACTTAAGAGCCCTCTTTCATCATCATAGCCCTAGTTGAGCTTCGTCAACCGAGGCGAGATTTGATGATGTTTAAAAACCAGTCCTCTTTTTGTTAACATGAGATTAACAAAACGGGCGAATATTAATTCTGTTGATTGTCGGTGCCAGAGTCCCTTGCGTCCCTTCGCTCAATCTGTACGAATTCTCAAGCCAACTAAGTTTGAGAAAAGTTTCTGCTCACTTGAAAATTTTAGCTTTGTGTGAAATTTCAAGAGATTTAAAGTCGCCTCGGATTCAGATCTCCTCATAGAAAGCATTGCAGCAAAATCAATATTTTTGTAGTTTTTGGCATTCTTCGGGTAAAATTCACTAATTTGCCTACCATAACCTTGAATTTGCACATTGTATCTTCGACAGGTTCTACACTTTTTGAAATCATTTATTCACTGTGAAGACGTATTGAAGAAAAATCCAGCAATACGTTTGTTGCCTCAACTAAACTTTAGTTTCCTCTGTTCACTGATATTGAATCAATGGAAGAGACTGCGTAGCATGAACAAAGCCCATCACTAGATTTTTGGGTGATAATGTAAATCGATGAAAGATTTTTGAGCTGGTTTCCCAAAGGTCAATTGAAACTAGACAACAGTTTTCTAAAAACTTGAAGACAAAGAAAGTCCTGTCTTGCTTCTAATGGCCACAAAATGTGATATCCCCAAATCACAAATAGTTTTTTTTTTAATGCAGGAATGACCGGTATCTCAATGAGAACTCTCAGCAAAGGCTCCAACGTCAACGCACCGGACTTTGCGACAGCAGCAACGCAGAATTCATCTACAGCAGAAGACGGCTTGCATGACGTCATCTACAAGAACTTTTCTGCAGTTTCAAGAGTGACGGCAGGCAAGGAAGTTGTCATAGACAATACAATATCACTGATTGCATCAATGAAGGTAATTACTATGCTATAAAAGTCGCTTTAAAAGCAACACTGTTTTGTCCTCTGTGGCGTAGCGTGAGCGCAGAACATAGGCATATGGTAACATATACTATATGGTTATGTTGAATGAATTAAATCGTAATTTCAGCTTTTTAACAATACAAGCGGTAATTAATGATTATGGTGATAACAAATTTTGATTTTGAAAATGAAAAATTATTTGTACTCTTATTCTAATCAATAAAGGTTGGAAAGTTGAATCTTTGCATCAGAGCCTCCGACACAGTATGGAAAGTGGAGGTGTCAAGGGAAAATTATCACCCATGCGAAAAGTTTTTAAAAAAGCTCAATTGTTTTGCAAAATTTTTCAGAATAACTTCTAGTGCTAAAACCGTTTCGCAGAATATCTTATTTCTATTTATATTCGTCAAGAAAAGGCATCACCTATTGCCAACCTAATGTAAGAATTTTTGATGCTATAATGCATCTGGGGATTTCCGTAAGGAGGAGCTCTCCGCATTGCGAAATTGTAAACAAGCTGTAGAACCTAAGCGAACAGGAGCAAAAATTTCTTGTCATTTTCTAACCTCATAGTTAATGAGGATGACAATAATGAGCTGTGAGAATTGTTAGAATTGAAGATGCTTTCATATTTAATTGTTTCAGAAAGCTGGTCCCTGCAAATCATCAACTATTTGGAAAGGCTTGCGCTCAGGTCTACCGCATGCCCTGGTCCGTAAATTCTGACTATACTGGCAAGTCTTTTGACTTGAATTTCGGAATGCGGATAATGACAAATAGACTTTGACGAAAAATTTTCTCTTTTTAACAGTCACAAAAATAAAGAAATGCAAATAATTAGATTTGAAATGATGTATCACGCAAACAATTTTCGCAAAAAGCAGCTTATATGCAGAAAAATATTGTGGATTATCAAATATTTTAGAATGCTCGCGCTCAGGCCGACCGCAACTTCCAGTCCGGAAAATTCTCACTTCTCTCAGAAGTTTCTCTCGAGCTGCACTGAAGCTGCACTGGAGCATCGCATGTTTACTCTTATTGTAGACAGGCAAAAATAATGATGTGGAGGGGCTTCAGTTTTTCAGATTTTTTGAATTTTACAACTTTTTAGCGATCTGTTTACCTGGGAAATAGCCAATTGGCATGTCTGCACAGGAGTTTACTGCATCCTGCTCATGGCCAGAAAGAGAAGCCGTTTATCGCAGAAAATGTTATGCATCGACTTACTACAACATATTTATTACCGGTTGAAGTGTTGCAAGAATTTTAGAATCTGTCTGCAGATTTTTACGCTTGCCCCGCAAGCGTAGAATACATAGATGCTACGCTATTAAGCATCTTCTCGACTTAAAAACTATAGGCCGAATGAAGAACGTCTCAACTAAAACATCAACATTCTGAAAGAATCCTCAAAAAATTGCTGGAATGAAATTTTGCTTCATTTTAAAGAATTTCAGACTCTTGTTTACAACAAAAATTACAATGAAAAAAAAATGTTAGCATGTTGAAATGATGTTAAATTGCAAAATCTATGACAATCTTGTATTTATGACATCAACGAATATATTCTTATTGTTTGATAGACAGTTGACAAACCTGGTGCAGATAGTGCTGACACTCTTTGGGTCTGGGCCTCTGCAGAAGTAGGCGATCAGTACGTCTGGGTTAGCGAAGAAGCGACAACAATCAAAAGGTCACCTGGGGACAACGCCTATCTCGCGTATACCGCTAAACCATTATACAATTGGCTACCTTTCTCGGGGTGAGCCTAAGATTCCTTTCAATCAAGCTATCCATTCTGCCTTTCATTATCAATGTTTTAATTAATCTCGATTATCTGCTAATAATTTTCAAAGCAAATCTTCTATTTCTTACCATTAACCATTTCCAAAAATGATGGAACATTTTTAGTAAGATGTCTTGTTTGCTTTGATTCAATGGATGGAGAATTCTTAAGGTTGTTGGCAAAACTGTTATAAACAACTGAAACATAAGTTTCAGATATTGTTATGACCAATAGCACTTTATTTTAAATATGAAAGCTTAACCATGTCAGTTTTCGGTACCGCCAAATTAGAAGATGCCCCAAAATAGCGGAAACAAATACTGAAGTACATTTTGTCTACACAAACCTGATGACAACATTTTGACATAGTTTCAAGTAACTATTCTACGTTTTTTCTCAGAAGACTATTGGACAAAATGCTATATCGTGCTATTTTCAAACATAAAGATTAATACTTTCTAACATCATTTTATTGCAGAAATGAAATGGCTAAAAAGTGCTTTATCAAATGAAAGTCAAAATTTGTTTTAAGGGCAAACAATTGCAGTGAATTGATTTGTAGATAGCTCAATCTGCTATAAGAAAACAATTTCAATAAATTGGTTGTTATTTTATTTCTATAGAAAAGACGTTGATTTGATTGGAACCGTCCGACACACAAGTTTATCTCGCATCAATGCCTACAATGTTAAGCTCAGGTTCTACCTGCCACCCTATGCAGAATACATTAGTGGAACTTACACGAGTGCACCGCTTTACTCAGCTGGTTCCTTACAGTACACGACTCAAGAGAGCCAAAATGAAATCGTTATAAGTGTGAGTATCGTATTTTTCTAGCACACAACACAGGTATGACATATGATAGATACAATCTTGGCAGAGATCACAGAGGGTCAATGGTGACCAAAACATATTTAAGTCCATTACATTTTATTTTCTAATTCACATAACGTAGAAAATATAATCTGAAACAAAGTAATAAAAACTACAATGACTCGTTATGAAAGGCGAAGAGTGGCAAAAAACTGTTGCCTCTCACCACAGTGGGCAGGTACAATGCCTGCCAAAAGTCTTGGAACACTGACTGACTGATCAATTTCTAAGGTCAAAACCAATCATCCCCCTCTCCCCCATGGAACAATGTTGGTTTACTATCAAACGGGTTAGGACTTTAGGAAGCACTTTCTTTTGCGCTTCTTTTATGATATTTCTCTAAATCATCAACATTGTTTTAGGGGGAAGGGGGCGGAAGTAGCAATTTTTTTTCATGAAAGGAATGAAAGATATCAAATGCAGCGTAAATTGGTGGGTGTTCCAAGTACTTTTGGCAGGCATTGTACGTACCGGTTAGACTTAACAGCTTGGTGCTCACAGCATTCATTAAGTTGGAATTGTTATGCTTTATTAACGTAATCCAATTATTGGGCTCTAAAAATATTTGTTTTTATTCTTTCGACAATTTTTTATAATCAATTGTAACAATAAATTATGCACAGACAGGCCTCTCAGCCGGTCCTAAATTCCTAAAAATACTAAAATTTAGCCATTTCTTTCGAAAATCATAAAACAATCCTAAAATTTGACAAAGAATCCTAAATTTCCTAAAATTTCCTATGGTTGGCGACCAGAAACGTTTTAGGGACGGCAGAAAACTACATCTACACAGCAATATTTGTAAGCAGTCACAATAATTGTTCCAAAAAGATAGTTGAAGGTTTTGATGAAGGAAACCATCATTGTTGGCGGGAAGAAATGTTTTACAAATTTTATGTCCTAGGTTTGCAGAAAACTCACCTAAATATTTTCAACATTGATTCAGACTGAAGTAAGATCTTCGGCAATACTCATAAGTTTTTCCTTTCATTATGCCAAATAGACAGTTCAGGGGTCTGACAAAAACTGCCACCAGGGCAAGAAAAATTTTCCCTTTTTGATTTTCTATGATGAATGAAAACTCATTTAAAATATTTGCAACAAGATTTAGACCCGAGGAAGATCCTAGGAAATTTTCATAAATTTAATTTATCATTATGCCTCATATCAAGTATAACTTTCTAGGGATGGCCTTAATCTGCGTCCAACACATCTACAGCATACCTAGGTTAAGGACCAAGAAAATATTTTGAAAATTTTCACAAACTTGTGTTTATCATTTTGTCCTAGGGTTTTATCAGTTTTGAATTTGACACGACCACGACCACGAATTGGACGGTCACCGCGTCACTGATTAGCTTCTGTTGTTGAAATTACCTTTCTCCTTTCTGAAAAAGTCTCCACATCCAGTATGACAATTCTTGAAATCATCTATTTGTCTTTCGTACATCCAGAGCTCTGATTTCTGTTCCCAGACAACTTTATGTTCAAAAAAATACATGAGATCACTTGAATAGGTTTGCTAAATTTTTGAAAAGTTTTCTCAAACGCAACTTTGGGAGGTTTACTCAAAAGGAACCTAAGTAGTAGCAGTTTTTTATGACTGGGAAACCTTTTTGTTCAATTTCTTCGTGTTTTATTCAATTTCATGATATGTTGTATTTTCTAACTGGTAAGCTTGGTGTTTAATTTATTTTCAAGCTATTTATGTCTATTGTTAAAGTAACTGATATCTTCTTTAAATCGGACTGTTTATAAATAAAAAGTGGAAAGAGCCAAGCAATTTCTAAAAGGGGCGTTTTCTGACTGTTTAAAGGCCATGGACTAAAAAAGTTTTGGCCACGCACTTTTCAGCCCTCTACATTTATTTTGGTGCGCGGTGCCTGGCGTATGTTTCCAGATTTTTGTAATGAGTAAGAGCACAGGACGGTCGAAATCGAAAGGAATTTTCGCAACGGGATAACTCCATTATTTTAAACTCTAAGACTCGCGCGCACTTCTTTTCCTTTTTACAATACTACCCACATGCATTGCCACTGACAGCCTAATTGTCTCCCCTAGGTCAGCATTGAATTCTCAATAAGTCTAGCTGTACTAGTAATCCCTAATATGGGGCGAAAGCGCTTTATAGCCGGCTGTTTGAGATGTAAGCGGTTTTCTTTACTTCTCACTTCATTATCTTATCCTGGCTTGTTTTTCGAAGAAGTGCTTTTCAATTTTGAAGAGCTTTCGTTACTCTGTATTTGTGTGTATTCTTTTCTATCTAGAAAGTAGATTTTGGCACTTTGGTGTTTAAAAACCTTTTAGAAACTCAGCACTGAAATCAGCAAAAAGTAAAGAAACTGAATACTTATCCCGAACCTAGCTTCTTATAAAAATTGCGTGTATGTGATGGGTAAATTAAAAATCTGAAGACGGCATAAACTGGGACGAAGCAAACAAATCTTTTCGAAGGGGTACAGAAATGATTTTTGCCGACAAAATGACTTGTCTCACTCTTAAAGGGTGTGGTCTCAATACATGCTGCTTTTATACGTTTCTATTAGAAAATTCATACATAGTAGCATACTTTGAAAGTTCAACTGCTACAGAAATGTTAATACGTTACAATTTTTGCAAGAAGGTTACAATTATACTACAGGGTGACAAAATGATTTCTTCTTTATCCCTGGAAAAGACCTTTTAAGTGCCGATGGATAGAGTGTTGGTGGGCAAAGCGCCCCCATACCTGCCTCCCTTTTGGTAATGCCCTTAGGCACGAAATAGCTGAAACATTGCATACTTGTGTTCTTTTCGTCCAAAACTCTTCAGAGTTTCCGCTATGCAATGTTTCCTGTTATTTCGTGTTATCTTCAAATTTTTGTCTTCAATGTCAAAAAATGTATTTTGTTAAATAAGAAAACCTAAAAAGTCCTAAATGATTATTGTTGGGTCCTAGAAAAGTCTTAAAATTTGGCTTTAAAAAGCCCTAAATTTCTTAGAAAAATTTACAAACGAATGCTGGGAGGTCTGAGATTAACATTTTAAAATTCTTTTAGTACTCGAAAATTGGTATCACAGACCAGCCAGATTTTAAGTTTGCTATCAAGTTCAAAGGAAGTGAGTTGGAACTAGGAGAAAGAGACAGATACAATGGGACAATTGAATTCTTGATGTCATATTGCAACAAAACCGATTGTTCACCTAATGGCGCTATCAAAAAGTTCACGAAAATTATCAGCAACAAATTTAGAGCTCGAGAGGACAGAGGTAAATATTATAAAAAAACCAATAAAGAAAGTGAATATCGAAACACAGCCTCAGTTATTTGATACGGTTATGCCTTGAATGAAAATTAATTTTTTAATCGATTAACTTTTATTATTCAATTCATTTCCTTTTATCCTTTTTACCAATGGTAACCCCTCAATCAAATGACTTGCTTACAGAAGAACATGCTGAAGCATTCAAAAATATGATTATCTCCCTTTGGCGTATTTTTGACGGAACATTTTTCATGAACAGATAATCCTGTAGACAAGAAACCTTTCAAAATTTTCTGTTCGAAGTGCACGTAGTATGAAGCAAATATGAAACATCGCAATACGCCAAGAATAAACAACAATAAATACACGTAAATCAGTAAAGGCTAATATTTCGCCCCGGCATACGGGGCTTCATCAGAGCAAACGGGGCTTCATCAGAGCTTCATCTTAATCTTTTATCGACTTTTCGCCACTAGAACTCCTTGGAGCCCGTCGAGCAGCCTGCTACATTGGCCTTTTCTTCATTCACACATACATGTAGAATCCTGTGCATGAAATTTAGATTTGTCATATTGATTTCAATAATGATGTAATTTTACGATATCATTCTGCTTCAATCAAACTTTGTGTCCTTACCTAGAGCTATCTTTTAAAGTTAACAAACAGAAATACATCATTCTGCTTCGCCAGTTTTCAAACTATTGTTTCTATGATGAAATCAATTTCGATAACGGTGAGAAAAAACATTAACAATTACTGGTTGCGTTGTTGCTTTGAAACTTTGAAAGGGGGATTGGCTCTGGTCTTAAAATACTTTTGACGAAACATTTTTCCATCGATTTCAGATAAATTTTACATCAAGCATATTGCGTCTGGAAGATGTTTGTCATATGCTAACGGTGATGAATATGTCACGCTCAAAGCAGCCTGCAATGATGTCTTCTCTTTTGATGCGAGAGGGGGTGTAAAGCACGTCGCAACAGCTAAGTGTCCGACCTATACTTCAAACTTAAAATTAGGGATGTCAACCTCAAAATGCGATTCGCCAATGTCATTATTTATGACAGCTTCTGGTCTGTTCCAAGGAGCTTATTGGGGAAGTCAATATTGTTTAACACCAGATGGAACAGGATTGGAAGGAGACATATTGTCAAGGACGACATCTTGTACTTCAAATGCAAAGTTTAAGTTTGTAGATGGTAAGAGTTCAAAATTGCAATCAAGTAACATTCCTTTAATGTACTTAGACGGAAGTTATATTTACTATAGCTAGACTCACTTCATTTCTTCATTTCTCTTCACTTCATAACTTCATTTCTCATGCATGTGTCAATTTGTGTATAATTGCCTAGAATGGAAAAAATGTAGAAACAGCACTTTATTCAATGCAATATTCTATCCTTTTTCAAAAAGGATGTTGAAGGAATGAAGATCTTTAAACGTTTTTTTTTTGCAAAACAGTTTACAGTATCTTATCAGCTAAAAACAATACCATGACTATTTTTTGAAAGGTTTCTTATCGTTGCCTTTTATTCTCATTCCTTCTCTCAAACAAATGATTAGATATAAAGAGCAAAACATTTTTTTGTTAGCTGTGCCAGCAAGCAGCCGCCTTCAAATGGGAAACAAGGTTATTCTATATTCAGGAAGCAGAGAATTCTTTTTTTGCAACAGGAAATCGAACTTGTAAGTAGTGACCCGTTAAAATAGTCGTATTTCAGAAACATTTAAATGTAAAGCGGTGTCAAAATTACTTAGATTTTCGAATGGCCCAAAATTATTTTCTGCACAAACTGGTGTAGTGCTTATATAAATTGGCTCCGTTTTTAACATAGCAAATTTGATACCAAAGGGTACATCTTTATTAACAGTTGAAATACGCTTAAACAAATTCTCTGTGGAAAACGCATCCTTCTTCTGCGACCTTCAATTTAGTAAACTTGATTCGTAGTTTTCTTTAATGTAACATCGCTTGATAAATACTTGCGGAACGTTCTTAACTTGCAAAAGTTTCAAACTAGAAACTTCAAGGTCATCTAAAAGCAACAACATTTGACTTGATAGTTTGTTCTACAGCTGCCCTAGCGACTTCATAAAAGGTTACCCAGAACAGACAAAGACTTTTCTTACCTATTAAGTCTTGCTTCCATCAACTTTGCAAAATAGGCAGAGTAACACGATTACCTCTTCAGCCTTATTTTAAAACTTTGCGCTATTTGCCTAACTTTTAGCTTCAAGTCATCCTGTTTCTACAAAAACGGAACATATGCAAGCTCTGTAAAAGGTACGTCTCCCTATATAAAAATCAAGCCATGCTAAAAAAGGAATAGATCATCCTTTGCAAAATATATTCAAACAAAAAAAATTATCTTATTATAAATAGAAAGAAAGGTCGAGCTAGAAATTTCATGTTGAATCTTGTAAAGGCCTACACTTTTGACACGTTTGTCGTAGAAATTTCAATTTGATTATATTTTTTAGTTTGCTTTTTGCTAGTGTTCTTTACACATTTTGTCCGTCTCCCTTCCTTTACAAATTGCAAAATAAAACATTTTGTAGATGTAATGAATCTACGTTCGGATTCAGGCTAGATAGAAACAAATCTATGTTTTTGCTTTTCTATAGCGTTGCCCATCCACTTGGTGTACGTTAAGGCCTGGGACGCATCTAAGTCTGAGCTGTATGGCATTGGTTACCATGGAGCAAGCTACGTTAAGATAAACCTGAATGTATTCCCGCACGTTGCTTATCAGTTAGACGATTCTACATTCACAGCTGTTTTGAGTCAAGAGGGAATCAAATCAAGCACAAATATTCTAGAATCGTCGCTCACAAATTATCCCGTACAACACTCGACCTCCGAATTCGCAGGTAGATTTTCAATTGATCCAATCTTCTTCTCTTATCTGCTTTGCTTACTCTGTCAGGAATTGGGTACAGACTTGTGATTTTCAAAAAATAGCTCTATAAGAATGCAGCGTAAATCTAGTAATATGAAGCTTTTTTTGGAAATAAATGCACTATCTATCTATATTTGGGCTGACTTAGGAATCAAGCTATAAGCGTTTTTCTATGTTTATAGTGTCATTGAAAGGAGTTTACCAACAAGATTCTTCTACCTGGAAACTTGTTTCACGCTGGTAACTATGAAGAGAAAGTATGGCCCCGGATAAAGATGCCAGATTCTATCTGATGCCGGATGGTAACAGCTTTTGAACATATCTTTAACAGAAGGAAACTTCTTCTTACGTTTAATGCACGTTTTGATGATGTGGTCACTTGGTCACACGGACACTGTCTAAATGGTTTCACACAAGTTATAGTCACTCCCCATATGACTGGGGATTGAGAAAAGATCACACAGGTTTATTTGTATCACATTCGAAGGGTGCTTCAAAATGCTTCGAAATTCTATAAAGAATCAATTTCATGCAAATGCAAGAATGTGGCTCTTCATTGTGGGGGGAGGGGGATGGATGGTCATAAACATTTAATAAACCGACAAAAATTTTTCCCACATTTCTAGCAGGGATGTAGTCGTAAAATTGCAACGGGGGGGTGGGGGGAGGACTCTATTAAATTATTAAGATGTTCTTTTCAAGTAATTATTGCAATTTGAACATGACGAGGGTCGATGTTTATTGAGATAATGGGTTGAGCAGCCTGGTACATTGAATGTTTGAGCAGGCAGCTGAGATCAGAACATTGATACCATAGAAAGGGCCGGGGAAAACTTCATTACAAGTGAGGGGGAAATGTTTTTGTTGCTCAATGGTTTATTGAAAGCCGCCACCATGGTTGGCAGCGGGAAAATATTTGAAATAAGACAAAAAAATGCATATAAAATCTTTATAGCATCGATAAGGAAGAACATTTTTTAAATTAATCACCCATTGGCTGGATTTTAAATTGACATGTTTTTGGTTGTCATACTTTGTGTATATTTCCATGCATAAACAGTTTGAAATGCGTTTGAATCTGTCAGTTGTTCTCTTTTTCTTTTCTAGTTCAATCGTCAATAGTGAAGTACTTAACAACTTTCTTTCCGTTAACAACTTTCTTAACAACAATGCTTAACAACTTTCTTTCAGTGACATGGTTCTTGGCTATGTCCAAGCACAAGCCGCTATGTCCAAGCACTAGCGGCTGTCCTCTCGGCTTATCCAAGCACAGTTGCGCGACTGGATTTGAGTTTTGCCTCCTCCCTGCCGAGCCTCCTCCCTGCTGAACGTTTTGGCCATACACCAATTCGATTTACAGCCTCGTTTTGAAAATTTCTTCTAACCTAATTATACGACCTTTTAAAGCTCAAATTTGGTTTTATCACCATAATTTTAGGCCGAATACAATTTTTCATATTGTTTGTGCTTGTATTTTAGATTTTACGGAGAAATGAAGTTTGAAAACTAGTAAGAGATTTGACCGCAAAAATCATTCGGGGGGAAACTTTACCCCCCTAGTCGCCAATCACGGTCCCTTATAAATCTTTTATCTTTTTGTCGTCATAAAATCAATATCGTGAGCAATACCATAATGAAAACTTCCAAGTATACTAAAATCATTTCTCGCGATACGAATCTGAGGTCAAAAATTTTGTACAAAATAATTTGAAGAATTTTTCAAAATGAGGCCGTTAGTCGAATTGGTCTATTCTTGTTGTAGAAAGAAACAATAGAAGGGATTGTTAGTGATTGACTAGCAGGGGCGTCGCAACCGGGGGGGGGGTGTCACACCCCCAATAGTATCTCAATAGGAAATTTCAGGTAAAATCCGCTCGGTGGAAGAAACGCTTTAGGTATTTTAGAGACCTGCATGTCATAAAATCAATAAAGGATCAATTTTATAAGAACAAGAGCCTCAAAACTGGTCAAAAGTTAAGAACAAATTAAGAGCAAGCTGAGGCTGAGCTTCTGCAAATTGCAATTTTGAACAACGTTTTTTCTCAAAATCGAGGATTTTTAGCGATGTGTGGGTGCTTTTTCGGTGAATATTCAAATTTGTCAGTAAATTAAGGCTGTCTCACTCACTTTGTTGGCAAATGAGGCCTGAAAACCTCCTTAAAGCGAAAAAGCTAGCAATAGCACTGCTTACACCCTCTTAATTCAAAAACAAATTAAAAACAATCTGGCCTCAGATTTTCGAAAAAATTAAGAACAGTGAGCCTGAACTTAAATTTACTGGTTCTTATAAAAAAAGAGTGTAGTTGCTTCGTTGGTTGAATATGATATTCCTTGATAGTAAACAAACTAATGATTTGAAGATTTCTTGTTGGCACTAAATTGAAAAATCCAAGCCTTCTTTAGGTAAAATTGTGTCTTGTTTCCGTTTCCCCTAATGTTTCTCGGTAGAAGCGTCAACTGCAATTCACTATGAGCTCAAGATTTTTTCTAACATTCAAAAGGCATGCTAAGATGAAAAGAGGGATCTAAATTGGCAACCAGTGCTGCTTGTTACCTAGCTTCAGAAGTAACTGACAACATGGTATTTTTCAAGACCACAGCGAAATTGTACCAGTTGTTTTTATCTGCGGTTCAATTTGTTTGCAAAAAAAAATTTTTCAATAGGATTAGGAGGATTGCTTTAGTGAAATGTGCTTGAAAGAGTGCATTTTCCAGGAAACCAGAAGCATCAAAATTCGAAAATTTCCTCCTCCTTCGGCGGCAACCATGGTGCCGCCTCGGGTAGTAACTATATCCTTTGCCCGTTTCGATATAGATATTTGACAAAATTATTAGGAAAATTCCGTTATTATCAAACTAAAATGGAAGTTGCGAATTAGTTGCGTATACAGAGTTAGATTGACAAAATGCATTGCAGAGGTTTGTGGCGTGGGGGCATGACGTTCTTCCAAAGTTTGGGAAATCCATTTAGAGTTGGATAACTTTACGGTTTACTTGAATTTTTTTTCTTATTACCAAACTTGTGAATTTCATATTTTAGGGATTTGGGATTTTGAATGTTAAATTTTCAAACCTTATTACAATTCACAGGGTGGAGCGGACCCATCCATTAATCGTTTTCTATTGTGTTTCTCAAATTGCACCATTGCACCGTTTGCATTTTTTTGACGGGAGTTAAGTTGAATTGAACTCTTTTGAACAAAGGTAAATTTCCAAACAAAAAACTTACAATTCTATAATCAGTATTGAGCCTACAGTTTTAAACAAATAATACCCTGTATAGATCGTAAACATTAAAGTGGGAATTTTTTAAGAAATTCGAGTGGTTATTTCAATAAAAGTTAAGAATCTTTCAGTACTAAAAATTCTATGATAATATTTAAATTCTTATAAATTTCTATGATAATGCTGCTGAGAGACCAAAAAACATTACAAAGCTGCAGCAGAAGTATTTGATCAAACAAGAGTATTTCATCTTTCGAATCGGGCATATGCACTTGCTCTCAAATTACCCATGTGTATTGTAAAAAAACAAATGGACATTTAGCCCTCTGAAAATTATTAATAATTCATTTCGATCAAAAACAAGGATGAATGGCTCAATTTCTTGATGCTTCTATTTCCTTAAAGAAAAATCTTAGAGATAAAATTGAAATGCAGCAAATAGCTTTAAAAGGGGCAAAGCAGACCAAGAGAAGAATCACTGTAAATTTACTAAAAAGAACATTACTTTTAATCGGTATATACATCTAATAATGGTTATGCTCAGGGGCGTCGTGGCCAGGGGGCAGGGGGCCATGGCCCCCTCTGCTTTCAAAATTTGACGGATTTTTGGAAAAATCATTGTTGTCAGGGATGCCTGCACAAGATTAGGGCAGGAGGGGCAGTGTTGGTGCTGAGGGAAAATCGTAGAATTTTTCGAGGGTGGGGTAACATGATAAATATTAACATGGATATATGCCAACCATACAGCTGAGTTTTTCTACCATCAATGATTCTAAACATAGAGAGAATGTTGACAAAAATATCCATACATAAAATTGGTATTAAATGGCTTTGTCACACTATACACAATATTTGGATTTATAAAATCATTGCTGATATAAATGGGTTGGTTGTAAAATGTTGATTGCCTGCAAAGTTTTAATACTGATTTATTCTTCTTTGGTTTCTGGAGTACCTCTGAGGAAAAAACAAGTCTTTTGTTTATCTACTATTATCTTTGCAGCTCCCCCTCTTGTAGCCCCCTTTGTCATAGACAAACTGTTCAACCTTTGTGTTTTGTGCGAATGTTTTAATTTTTCTAATATTTTCTAATAGAAACTAACATAACGTCGTCAATTATCGATAAGATTCTATAATATTTTCTTATATTTCAGGGCACTTCTTGCCTTTCTGCCCCTCTTTGAAGAGGGCAGGAGGGGCTGCTGCCCTCCAGCCCCTCCGGTGTAGGCGCCCCTGAATGTTGTTTCGGAAAATTTTTAAAACTTGGGCTGTGGGTAAAACCGAGAAGTGAAACGAACTTCTTAGCAACGTAAATTGCCTGAACGAAAGTACTTTCCATATTATCGAGGTTCAATTCACTTTTGATTAAGGATTTACTGATTTCTACTATAGAATGATTTGTACCCTGGGTACCAGAGCCTCATGAATCCGGAAATACAGTACTGTAGACGGCTAATCCTTACTCAAAAAAATTTTTCTGTGACTTGTTTGTAACTATTTTTCTGAGACTAAAGAATGGAGACTCTGGCGCCCAGGGTAAGTGATTTGCTGCTCGGATTTTGTCAGTTAAAATCCGAATCTTCAATGACGAAATTTTGTTATGGAAATTGGTCAATATTGGTCAGAAATTATAACTTTATATGATATTGCAAACCGAAACAGTGAGTGCCAATCTTATGCCTATCACCAGATTTAAATATTTTTGTCCCAGACTTGAACATTTTTACATTCATGTTGCATAAGGTAAAACATTTGAAACGAGAACAAGAAGGTCGATTAATACCATTGCTTTTGACTAGTGAATATTCATTTTAAAATAGGATTTTATTATTTAAATTTGCTCAAAAGAATGCAATTTCTGGCCAACTTGAAACATTAAGATTATAAAAAAGTTTTCCTTTCGGCGGCAACCATGGTCTGCAGACCTATAGGGCTGCAAGGTACCAGGAACGTTTACAGTATGTGTTTTTACTGTACGAAGGTCGAACTTGTAATATGTGCTGGTTCACGTAGGTATCATCGTGAATATCGTTATACTAACTTTTATGCTTCTTTAACTATTGTTCTGTTCTAGTGTTTAATTGGCTGTTATTATGTTCTGTTTTCTTATTGGCTAGTTGTATTTTAGAAAGTGTATGAAGGAGCTTGCCTGTTTTAGAGTAGAGGCTTTTCACTGTGGGCATTCCCGCCTTGCCAAGAGATTGGTGGCCGCCGTTTCCCGATGATAGAAAGTCAAAGTGTGTGTCACTTGAAAGACTTAGCCGTTGTCCTGTCGCTATTTGAAGTGTTTAGGTCAAGAAAGCCACAAGTCGCCAACACGAGAGCAAGCAAGCTAAAGGTCGTGATTGATTTGTTATTATTATTATTATTCTTAGCGTTTCTGCATTCTTTATATTAAACATTTGAGACTGATGTCATATGAAGTATTTCGTTGACTCACAAACTGTTAGACTTAGAGGCGTAGTCTAATAGTATGAAGAAATAGAGGCAAGATAAAAAGTGCATTTTGAATATCTTTCCAGAGAAGGCAAAGTTGAGTTTTTCCGCACCCTTGCACTAACATGAAATGCTTCTATTTGATTAAAATAAATCAAAGAAATTTTGTCGAAACATTTTTCTTTCTGGCCCCCTCTAGAGTTCATTCGCCACAAGAATTAATTTAAGGTGCAGTGGTGACCAATTTGTGCAGTGATGTATCGAAAATGTTCAGTGATGAATTACTTCACTTCTCATTTGAAATACTCTAAACACTACTGATTTGAAAGTTTTTAGAACCAAGACCAATGAATACAAACTATAATCGAAAGTCAAATGAAATGAAAGAATCAACCTACGTCTGAAACCCAAATAAATCCAGGTTTAACAATAAAAATAATATACAGTTAATCACAAACGCACTTCATAATGCAAAAAGTGTTTTTTAAGAAAATAGAAAGAATACTGGAAAAGAAATAGATAAAAAGAACAGTGCAATAAATCCTGTTATTGCTAGGATTCCAAGGAATAAGCCGATGTCTGTGGGTTCTTATAAAGTAATTATGTAAATTTCAAGACGTAATTTATGTAAATTATTAATCAAATGTAATAAAAGCATGCCTTTCTCTAAAAAATTTTCAACCTCTTATTTCTCAATGGGACTAGAAGGAGAAACTGCTTTGGAAGGCAGCGTTTCTGTTAAAATACAACGAAAGGATCAACCTGAAATTTTTGATTAAATCAAGGGGGAATAGGATTTGGAAAAAAATCGAACGAATGATTTGGGTAAAGAGTGGTAACGAGTGGAATGTGCCTGGTAATTTATTCCTTTCATCTCAGGGTGTATATAACTAAGCCGGCTATCTCTTTTAAAATCAATTTCTAAAGATACTTCTGTCATGTGTTTTTCAGAATCCAGAGTCAGAATGACAGAATCTTTTATTGAAGTGTACGCAGGAGAAGTAGGCGAGGTGCATTTGAAGATAAGGTCTTTTTTGTTAAGACCGTAGGTTTTACGTTTCAGGCTGCTAGTCATTGAGGGGACAGACTGCCTTTAACCTAGAAAAACCATCGTAACTAAGATAAATACTTACGATTTGCACCCTTGTTAAGTCCCAAAATCTAATCAAGTAACGCAGTGGCTGGGGTTCTCGATGGGCAAGTTGTACAAAACGGAATGTTGCAATGTGTTTTGTTAACTTTTCATTGACCTAGTACCTTCATGTCGTTTAAAATCCGTCTACCAAGTCACAACCATCAACAAAAACATGAAAGAGAATCATCAACAAATGCAGCAAAAGACACGGCCTAGATTTATGTGCCCGTAATTCGATGCAGTCAACGGTCCCATTTCAATTCTGGCAAATGGGGCTGTAGCAATCCATAGGATCTTGAAATGTTAGGATTTGACAGCACTCAGGTTGCTTTTGAACGGCGACGTGAAAAAGTATAGTTTGGAATAGTGCACGCCATAACCATTCTCCTCACAAAAACAGATAATGCTGGAGTCAAGAAATCTGCACATGCATTAGGTTTGGTTATCACACTAGATAAAAATACAAATTAATTTTATCTGGCAACTTATTTTTCAGGCATTTGTGGAATTTTGTAATGTAATGTAATGTAATGTAATGTAATGTAATGTAATGTAATGTAATGTAATGTAATGTAATGTAATGTAATGTAATGTAATGTAATGTAATGTAATGTAATGTAATGTAAACAAAACCGTAAACGCAAGCGCAAACATAAACGTAATCGTGATTTTTTTATCATGCAGTTTTGGGCATAGATTAGGAATTAAGATGTTGATCAAGTGTATTGAAGGGGCATTTCATAACGCAAGCGAAACCACAAACGTAACGTAACAGCAACTGTAACATAACATAACATAACATAACATAACATAACATAACATAACATAACATAACATAACATAACATAACATAACATAACATAACATAACATAACATAACATACATAACATAACATAACATAACATAACATAACATAACATAACATAACATAACATACATAACATAACATAACATAACATAACATAACATAACATAACATAACATAACATAACATAACATAACATAACATAACATAACATAACATAACATAACGTAACGTAACATAACGTAACGTAACGTAACGTAACGTAACGTAACGTAACGTAACCTAACCTAACCTAACGTAACCTAACCTAACGTAACGTAACGTAACAAACAGTGTCTGCAAAGAAACTTGACCTTTTATGGTCAGTTGACACAATGCGTTTTTTCCTTGCGTCTGACTCATGAGTCAAAGTTGCATGAGTTCGCGAGTCGAAACGTTTAGACTATGCACTTTTGACTTATGCACCCTTGTTATGTATGGTTTTGCATTGGATAAAGGTTTTGCATTGGATTGTTCGGCGAGACCAACGCGGGGACCACCAACTAAACCCAAATCTTTTGCTACTCTTTTCTCGGCTGCTTGGAGTTTATCCCTATTGTGGTAGACTTCCGAAAGTTAGATCTCACAAAAAGCCTTCTTCCTTGCTAGTTCTGTGTCATTTTAAGATCCTTCTTTGCTTTTAATATCCATGTTTTACGAGTACAGCAAACCGCTTCCATCGAAACTTCCCGTCTACGAGCCAAGATATTCGAAGCATGTGACTCATTCTTCTTAGTTAATAGCATTAATCCTCCATGCGTTGTTGCAAGAAAATAGAGCATGTTCTATTTTCATGACTGGTCGCAAGGGCAATTAAATTTAGACGCAAGTCCCGTTTACACGATGCAATTTTGACTCATGAGTTTGACGCAGGGAAAAAACACACCGTGTAAACTGGCCTTTACTTTTAGTCCAGAGGATGGAGAGACTATTGTCACCCGTGCGGAGAAATTATGAAACCAACTTTTTCTAAAGTAGTTTTGGGCGTAGATTACGATTTTAAATGTTGATTAACTGTTTAATGGGCGTTTCTGAGAAAGAGAAATTAGGGGCAATTGGTTTGTGGTAATCTAACGTAACATAACGTAACGTAACGTAAGCGTACATGCAATTGTAGCCGTAAACGCAAAAGTAACTCTAAATATAAACGTGAACATAACATAACATAACGTAATACAACATGCAGTGCCTGACAGGAATCTTGCTCCTTTATTATAGTTAAACCAAATGTTGCTTGGAACTTGAAAACCGAATGTGACACTGCTAACGGGGCGATTTGGGCCTAAATATGATTGAAAAGATTTGCATATTTGGGTCTAGATTTGAACTGACTGTAACCAGTAGTGTGACTTCAAGTGGAGTCACTATAATAGGGGGCGACTGCATGTAGACTTGAATATCTATTTTTTCATGAATGATATAGGGTGTATTGCATAAATTTCTGTATTTTCAAGCTTTTGTTGCCAGATAAAATAAAATCATTGATGAATCTTTACCAAAACATTGGACTACGTCCCACCGGGGCATATGTTATTCTGTTGTTGTCATGAATATGCTGGTATAATTTGGAGCAAAGGGTTTCCCCATTGCGGTGCTTTAAAGAAAGTTAATACAATTTAACTTACACTATTTTTTCATAAGAACAGGAAAATTGAAGTTCAGGCTGGACGTTCTTAATTTTTTTAAAAATCTGAGGCAGGATTATTTCTAATTTGTTCTTAAATTATTAGTGTGTAAGCAGTGCAATTGCTAGCTAGTGCGCTCTAGGGAAGTGTTCGAATCTCATTTGTCAATAAAGTGAGTAAGACATCCTTTATTTGCCGACAAGTTTGAAAGTTCACCGAAGAAGCACTTCTAGATGGCAAAAGATTCCTCATTTTTGAGATGAACATTGTTCGAAATTACATTACAGTAGCTAAGCCTCAGCTTGTTTTCACTTTGTTCTTAACTTTTGACCAACTTTAAGGCTCGTGCTCTTATAAAATTGTTCTTATAAAAGAGAGTTTAGTTCTCTTTTATAAGAACAATTTTGTAAAGCTAAATGACCAGCAGCACATGACCCTTCATTCCACCTTGGAATTCCTTTTCGTAAGAAAGAACTTGAGCTCACTGTGAATTGCACTTGATGCTTCTTTCGAAAACCTGCAGGGAAACTTGACGTACCCTTTTACCTAACGAGGGCATGGTTTTTTTATTAAATGCCAAGAAATCTTGAAATCATTAACACTTATTTTGCTCACCTTTAGGGGAATATCATATATAAATAATTTAGCGACTACCATTGCCATATTCTTTATTGATTTAAGAAGGGAAATCTGAAAATTTATAGCATGCAGAGAACACAGAGTCAGAACTGAACTTAATCAACCGTTACCATCTAAAGTATGCGCCCTTTAGAAAAGGTGATGGAAGCAAGGACAGCTTTTTAATTTAGTTAGTGCTTTGCTCTAATGTTCTTTTTAATTATTAGACATTTTTAACTTAAGGCAAGAGCTTTTAGTGATACGAGAATTGAGCATTGTTGTGTGCGATTCGTTCACTAATAATTCCATCCATCGACTAACGTGTCATTACCAACCTAACACGTCTTCTTTTACATGCAGAGAACACGGAGCCAGAGAAGAGACGATGTGACTATTGCCAGTGGCGGTGCCAGCCACTACGCTCTGGGGGGGGACAAAACAAAAGATTTTAAACCTCGCCCCTTTTAGCACCAGAAAACGCCCTTTTACTAACAAGGAACGCAATTTTTACCTGAAGGGAGCGCCCATTACTCACTTTCGGCTATGCAAAGGCCTGTTTGAAAACCATAGGATTACATAACAAAAAGTACGTTGCCAAAATATTACCCCCCCCCCCCAAAAATTTTCTCATCGGATTTAGACGAAATGAAAAATTGATCCTGCCGAGAACTGGGGGGACGTGTCCCCCCCACGTGGTGCCGCTACTGACTATTTGATGTCTTGATTTGAACTGAACTGAACTAATTACAAAACTGGGCGTATAAATATAAAACGAGGGGATGCTATAAAAGTGTTGTTAATTACCTTATTGTGGTTACGGAGACAATCAAAGGTGTTAATGAAATTGATACAATGGAAGACATGGTTACGTTTGACAATGGTTTTGACAATGAAATTACAAGCTCTTCCATGCTTTTAAAATTTAAATGCTTCGCAGTATGTCTGAGCATAAGAAAAGTGTTAGATGGGCTGTCGTTTTCTTAAGGTAATTGCAACGGTGACTCAAAATTGAGAGTTGGTGTAGAATAAAGGGTGGTTCAAAAAGGCAATTTTAGCGTTACGTAATTATTGAACAGCCTCTATATTCTCTTTCTCCTTATAGTTCACAATTATAGAACTTTTACAGATTCAAAGTAACGCTAAATATAATTGTCGCCACTCAGTACTTCAGGAAAACTTTTGTAGTTCTATTTCCCAAACTAACAAGGATTGTAATTTTCAATGCGAAACTTTGAAAAGTTCTAGTCCTGTCCAGAGTAAGAATGATGACAAAAACTTCCACAGCCTGGACCAGAAGTCGCACATTACCAACCTTGACACTTTTCATAAAACGCTCAAAACTCAACAACAATTCTTCAGCTATTTTTCCTGTGTTCTGGTGCTAGATCACGTGTTTGCAATAAACACGAACAAAGAAGTAGAACAAAAGATTTCAAGACCAGAGCTTTTTCTATTGACTATGGTATCTTGAGACTGTGAACATTTCACTTAAGTCAGCAGATTCCCAGCTTTTGCTTGCAGTATCGTTGTTGTTGCTACAGTCCTTAGTTACCGCTGAGGCCACAGTGGCCTAAATAGCAGGTGAAACATTAACAAGATTTGGAAATGAGTGTAGAAGAGTTCGGTTTTGTTTTGACCAGAAGGACAATGATACCAGCAATTCATTGTGTCTGCAGCCATTTCTGCATTTAACTACTTGTTTGATGACCTACAGTATCTACAAGGAAGCATTTTGCACTGGAATGCGGTCACAAAAGGCTGTTTAATCCGCCCATGGATATAGGTACATCTCCGAGAATTACCGTGCTTCTTCAAAGGGATCAGGTATAAATGACGAAGAAGGTTCCAAAAAGATTATCTTATTATGTTTTTATTAGTATATCAGCGTTAAAAATAATTGGTACAAAGGATTTATATAACCACTGTCCTAAATAGTAGCGGGAAAGATTTTTCTGCAAGCCCCTCGATATAGGTTATAAGCTATAGTTTACCCAGGAGAAAAATGACAGCCAAAGTAGTGTAGTTATGATACTTAACATATATAATCAAAAGCTCATGTAAATCTGCAAAGTCAAATAGAGATGAATATTCACATCATATATCGAATCTTTCGGAAAGGGATGTAGAAAATATCTTCTTTCGCAGTAAAATCTTAAGCGGATAAACATACTTTTGCCCCCAAATAACTAGCACGTCCCTAGTTGCATCTTTGCGCAACTCAAATGAATTATACATTTGATAAATTTCCCTCCTTGGCAGTTTTTTTAAGATTAGGTTTTAAAAATATAATCCATTGTTGTGATTATTTCGTTTTGCAACTACTACCACACAAACAAACACTGTTTGCAATGCCCATAACTTGGTTCTGTACAATTTTTATAAATAGACTGCTAAATCTTTTATTTCTTTTATGCAATAAAGAGTGTGAATTTTCTGTACATTAATATATTATTATTTTCCTTCCAATAAGATATAATCTATTGTGGGAAACTTCAAATGAACCCTGATGGAAGATGGAGGCTACAGAACACATCAGCGAGTAGAATGTTTTGTAAAAAGACACTTGGGACAAGACGTTTGTAACAGTCTTAGAATTTCAGAACCATGCATTGTTGTTGGTGGAAGCTACAGCCATGCCTTCAAGTTTATTGTACTCACTGATGATACCTTATATATTTTTGCAAATCCACCACAAGCAGAAAATGACATAGAGATGAGAATTGAGCTGCAGCAAATAAGTGAAGTTAAATATGTATGTCTGCACTTGTTTATCCTTCAACTGTACCAAGCATTTTTCATATTCTATTATGAAATACCAACTAATATCCTTGAGAAATTCCCCTTTTCATGAAAAGATTGTTTACTTTATGTTAAAGATTGAAACATTTCTGACAGAACCATATTGTAAACAAGAAGTATATTTGAGCAATGTTTTTACAGTACAATTTGAAAAATAACTATAGAAAAAGCAAACATTTTACAACATGAACTAAAGTTTTTGTCTCACACTCTTTAGAGATTTTTATCTGACAAGTCATGTTGTAAAATGTTTGCTTTTTTCAAAGCCATTTTAAAAGTGTTAATTACCAAGAAGGCAGTTTCTAAGTGCAATTATAAGGTCAAGGCTTCAATTTGATTTTGCTTTTATTGGTGTAATTTTTTGGTCATTCTTGTTATGTCTGGCATTCAGATAGGTAAATGTAGCTGTTATTTTTGACCAACCTTGATACTTATTTGATCAATATCACTTTTTCTAGAACCCCTAATAGTATTGATTTTTGTCAAACCCAGAAAACTCATTATTGTACTATAACTATGAATAAGATGTCATTATTAAATGTTGGTTGGTTGCTTGAAGCCCTGACCTATTAGGTTGTAGACCCCTTGTGTTGCAACTTTATGTCCTGTGCTATATCAAATGAATGATTCATTTTGAGGCTCAAATCACCATAAATTTTTTGCCTTAATAGATATAACAGGATTTTTATTACTGTAATAGATGCTAATAGATAGTGTCTTCAACAATTGGCTTCTTTTATCCCATTCCTTAATACTTTTGAAAAATGCTATCACATTCTGACGAGGGCTGGTGTTTTGAGGTGAGTGACAGCTCTTGCTCACCTCCATGCTCCCCTCCATACTCCCATTACAAATTCTCCTAAACTAAGCATGAAGGAAAAATTGCTCCCCTCGAAGTTCAGTTCATTTCCAGATTCTGTTGAGATGTATTTGAAAGTTAACAAAATTGTCAGCATCAGATACTGCAATTGATTTAGATAACACTGCATTGATTTTTGATATTTTGCTGAAGCATATACATTATATTTCTTCTTGATAAAGCTTCCCTAAACAAATCAGGCAAGCATTCACAGCTCCTCCTCTGCAAAATTACAAACCACCAGGTCTGATTCTGACCATGAATATTGTTGTGAGTCAATGTTGTTGTGTTGGATGGTACCCTATTCTCAGACATTGCACAGTTTGAGTTTTCAGTTCCCTTTTCTAGGCACATGTTAAAGATGATAGAATGAATAAACGAACCTGTCTTTTCTCTTATGCAGCCAGTCTTATCACAATTTTTGCACATGCCCAGTAACAAATTTTGCCATTTTTAAGCTGACATTAAAATTTAACAAATTTGAATTGAATCTAACTACAGTTAAATCCCATTGAGTTGTACCTGTGTAACTCGAGTCTTCCCCAAATTGGACTGATTTTCAATTCTCTTTGAATTTTCATACCTTATACAAGTCAAAAGCTGAACCCCAGGGAAGTCTGAATTTCCCTATGTCAGACCATTTCTTTAACCAATGAAAGCCAAAGTATCTTGCCACCTTACATAAATTGTTATTAACTTAAATAATATGTTTTTAGCAATCTTCTCTGCTTAATTGTAGGTTCATGATATTCCAGAATTTTTATCTGGTGACCTCCAAAAAAATGCTCAGCATTTTCGTATGACTTACAGAAAATCTGATCTGAGTCCACAAGCCAATTTGAAACCTGAACAAAAGAATAATGGAAAGAGAAACGCCAGCTCATATTTAAAGACATTCCAGGAGAATCCGGTTGGATCTAAGACAGCAGTTGGTGCAGAGAATCAGCCAGCTGCAGGAAGGAATTCAAATTCAAGTGTGATAGATGAGTTGATGCGTGAAGATGGAAGGTCTTCTACAATACGATTTAAGTTTGATGATCATGATGATGATTGTCAAATAGGACGGGATAGGTCTTACAGTGACCCATTAAGAATAACAGAACTCCCTGCTGAAGCCAAAGCTGCCATTGCTGTGCCACTTAAACTTAACGCTTCACAAAACGTACGGAGAAAAGGAGCTAAAGAACCGAATGGTTCTGAGAAGACCATATCAAATCGTACGTCACGTCCTCTTCCTCCTCCAGCACCTGGGACGGAAATGACCAATGCGATGATTATTAAAGGCTCTCCAAACTTAAGAGTATCAGGAAGACGCAGAAGAATGGGTGACCGCAAGCCAGATGATTCGAAGTCTAAAGATGGAGCTGTGCAAACAATTTCAGACCCCTGTCTTCGCGGAGCTCATCCCAGTGAGAGTTCAGCAATTCGTCACAAATCTTTTCCCTTGGACCGGTATTCTCATGTCGAAATGCCTGACTTGGCATCCAGGTCAACCAGTTTTTTAACAACTGAAAAGAATGGCTCTAGTAAGCACCTGAATCAAAGTCTTTCTGCCAGGATTGGCAGTTTCTTTGGTAAAACAGATGAAAAGGCGTCATTGAAAAGTGGTATTTCTAAGACAAAGACTCCGGCCACACAAGACGACAATTTCTATGAAGAAGATGTGTTTCCGACTGATAGCAATGTAGCTACAGTTGATGTCTATTTGCTAAATGGAGAATCGCAGATGGTACCCCTGCTGAAATCAACAAGAATCAATTCAATAATGGTAGGCTAATCACCACATCTTTCAATATGAAACTTATTTGGCACATGACGAACAGTTTTCTGTACCAATATTGGACCTATTTATAACAAATATTCGTCACGTAATTCCTTCTTACAAAAGTTTGCTACGTATTGCTCGTACTGTGTATGCGCTTGTTGGATAAGCACATCGTTTGATTTCTAATCATTGAAACTCCGTTCCTGAATACCATGAAAGCTTTAACAGATAATAGGTTTTGTAGAATAACTAGTTTGATAGCGTACCAGGTAAATATTTCTAAAATCTTTTTTGACAGTCGAAGACACTGCGAATGGGTCGTGTAAGGGAGCGATCTTCAAGTGTAGACAGGTATCACTTAATTACCTTTTTATGATCTTGTCTCTTATTTTCGTCTATGACCTTGTCTCTGCAGTCCAACAATTCCGATGCATAATTTGCAATAACATCACTTAAAAGCTAAGTAAAAAACAAAACAATTGTAAAATCTAGAAATGCTTTCCCCCGCCCCCACACAAAGGCTACATCGACCCTTGTCACCTTCTTCGAAGGTACTCTGCCTGAAATCTTGCATTTCGTTTAAAAACAACAGGTAATGTTGTGCATTAAGTGGCATTTTTCATGTTATATTCCACACTATAGAAACAAAAGTCGCCACGAAAGAAGAACTGCAACGTGTAACTTACATTCTCTCTCGTTCCTGTACTAACAGGTTTACTTTGTTAAAGTAACGAAGGGGTTCTGAGATGACAATTTTTTGTCCTCCCTAGTTCTATCTTTTTACAAAAGTTTAAATACTGAATTCAGACGTCTCCTGTTGTCAAAGGTCTTCTTTTCAAGTTAGAAATCTATATAGTTTCAAAGGAAGCTATATTTCATAAGAAATGTATTTCTGTGATGCTTATCCATTCTCTCAAAACAGAGCTATTGGACAGAATAGGCATTACCTCATTTGCGTATCTGTTTTTGCGCATAAGGATTCCAGTCACTTTCACTGCAAGACAAAATTGATATCAGATTAAAATCAGCAGTATCTGACCGCAAAATAAAAATATCAAAGCTTCAATGTTCTTTCTCCGAGAAAAAGCTTTATTGCTAAAGTACGAAGAATGGTAGATTTTAGAAACTGTAGCCATTCTCCAAAGTCGTTTGTGGAAGATATGACATCACTGAGAATCACCCAACTGTTATCCTACCTGTTTTTTTTCATGCAAGTATTTAAGTCAATACCTGTTAGATACGCTTTTTCCAAAATGCCTGTCCTTTCAGATCTAAGATGCTGGAAGAATTCAATCTGCTAAAGGAGGACATCCTTAATTGCACTGAGATCGAGAGAGCTTTCATATTGACCAAAGAATTGCTTTCAGGTGCCACAAAAAGGCCGCTGATCAAGACACTGTTCTGGAAAGTAAGGATTTCATTAATATTACTTTTCACATTTCCTTACTTTCATGAACGTTTTGTGACAATTTTAAGCTAGTTTTAAACCAAACTGATGCCATCTTGGTAGAAGCTTTGTTAAATATGCTTAAACTTTCAAGTCCAAGCAAATAAAAAACTCTCATTGTTGTTTGGAGCTATAACTTTCCTTTCCTCGATGTGCAGCAAAGCTCTAATGCGATTTTTACATTTTAGCCTGGCCCTATTAATATTTGCTGCAATATTGTTCACATTGAATGCATTTTATAGCTTTTGACCCATCTTGCTTTCTAATAAACTAGTTAATACGTGATCAGATTGCTGCACTGCCATGCACATCAAATTGCTACTTTTCCTGCTTTCTAGACCCAAGAACTTATCAATTACTATCACACGATACTTGACTCGTATCTTATAAATCATGCAAAAATAGTGTTTCATGGTGACGAAGCAGATGAACTTGAGTAAGTTCTTATTGTAAGCTTTCTAGCTCGCCCTCTTTCTCGAAATTTTCTTAAGATACTGCTGTTTGAATTGCGATATTTTGCCTCCAATATCGAGACCATGCGCTTTGTGTGTCTTTCAAAGGATGCGGATGGATTATTTTACATGTCGGTCCTTGTAGATCGTTTCCTTTGACAGCGAGTCTCTTCCAAATGTTGCTGAGTATTCACGTAATTGCCTCCTGTTCTATTATTTTAGCTACATGCTCATCATTGCTGATCTAATTGTTTGCATGATTTTCAACACTGAAATTTTGCAATCGAGAAACAAGATCCTTTTTGGACACAGGTTTGCCAAATGCTGCACGGCTTTATTTTCCTTTATTCTTATTCTAATGGGCAATTTTGTTAACCTTTTCCAGAATCTGTTAACCATCTTATCGGATCTTATCAAAAATTATATATTATTCATGCGCAATATTTGGCTCCGTACAGGAAAACTTTCCCTTCTTCGTGTAGATACTTCTTTATTTATCTGTTGCAATCGAATATTCTCTTTTGCACTAACTGAATATAATTTAAACAGATATTTTTCTGTAGTAGCACTTGCCTTAATTTTGCGCTCGAGATTACCCTGGATTTCAGAGCCTCGGAGAGTCAAAGGACGGAATTATGAAGGAGAATAGGAGAGGAGAACTTTTTTTCTCACAATTCCTTTCCCTTTCCCCCCGTTCTTCATCCTTTGACTCTCTGAGGCTCTGGGACCCAGGATAATCATTTGTGCCCATATCTTTCTTCATTACAAAACATTAACGAGCTCTAATCTTTTGATATTTTTTCTAGGGGATCCATAGTCTATAAAATGATGAAAACATCAATGTGGAAACCTGACCTGTTAAAGAAACAGGAGTCGCAAGTGTTGTCAAATGCTGCAGCCCTGTTGCTTGCTGGTGTGGATCATCAGCGTCAACAAAGTGACAAAGAAATTGAGGTGAATTTACTTTGACTTTTGACATGACTAACATCAGAGCCAAAACTGTATAGCTTTAGTATCGATTTACGATGGTTCTAATGGTTCATTGAAATGTCATGGTTCATTGTCACGACTAATGGTTCAAATCAATGATATAGAAGCGCCGAAGGCGCTGGATGTCTAACTGGGCATAATTGCCCATCGAGCTGGTGAGGCAAAATCACTCAAGCGGTAAAAGGGCAAAAAGACGATTCCGCATAAGGGCTCAGTACAGGAAGTTGCAAGTTGGACGAAGAAAAACCAATATTATCGAAAATTAGCATAATTTTGAAAGGTTAGTTATACTTTGCTAGCTTGCCGTATTAATTTCAAAAGTTTTAAGCCATAAATTGTGTTTTTAAATAGGGTTTCAAGATTTTTAAAATATTTATTGCTGCGGCGCTCGCACGGTCCACTCTGGTCAAGGTAATGTTTACCTTTTCAGGTAGACTGTTCTTGGGTTTATTTGCAAAAAACCAAATATAATTTCAAAATTGGGTTCATTTTGTATTTTATAAGTAAAAGAGTAGATGTAAGCAAGTACCCTTATATCATTATGACAACTTTTTAAATGAACACTCCCCTACGTCGGCAACCCCCTGCATATGACTTCTGGTAAAAGTTTTAGATGTAAGGAGTGAACAATTTTATGATAACTATCCATTTCAAGTTTTCCCTATGACGAGACCTTCCCTCTAACATTCACCAGCAAATCAGACTTTAATTTACGGACATCAGGATGTTGTAGGAAGGGGGCGTGGCTGAATCAGGATTGAAGATGACCTCTTTTACCACGGTTCCTTGAAGTTACGATAAAAAATTAACACAAGATTTTTGTATAAGCGCGACATTTTTGTAAATAAGCCCAAAAACAGCCTTTCTAGAAATATAAATATTCTCTAAACCAGAGTGCCCTTATCAACGCCATGGTAAAAAAATATTTTAAAAATCTCAAAACCCGTGTACAAACATAAATTATGGCTTAAAACTTTCTAAATGCATACGGTAAGCTGACAAATTATAAGTTACCTTCCTAAATTAAATAGATTTTCTAAAATTTTTGGTTTCGCTCGCCATCTTCGGAATTTCCCATACTGAGCCCTTATGCGGAATCGTCTTTTTGGCCTTTTACCGCATGAGTGATTTTGCCTCACTCGATAACAATAGAGTTAGACATCTAGCGACTTCGTCACTTATATATCATTGGTTCAAATGTCACGACTAATGGTTCATTGAAATGTCATGTTAAATTGACCGAATACCAGACCAAAATTAGTAGCCAGTCAAAAGTATATATGCTTATTGTTGGTATAATTTCGCCTCTTTGCACGATTAAAGTAGACAAATACACTACCATTTCTACCAGCTAAGACTTATACGTAAATGTGTTGAGTAAGAATCTTTATTGATTAGAAACTCATTGCTACCTTCCGAGTGTTACTGTTATAACACGTGTTCAATTTACTTCAATTTACCTGATTTTCTTGACAATTAATATTTTTGTAATTTCAGTTGGATAATTTACTGGGAGAATGGACGGATGCCTGTTCATCTCTTGTTTACGAGCTGCTGAATGCAACCGAGCAGGTATCCTGATTTTATTCCTCGTTTTCCTTTCTTAAGCAATTTTCGTTTCTACATTGGACTTCAATATGCCTTTTTTTGCATTAGTTTGTAAACACAGCCACGACAATAGCAAACTATGTGTTTTATAGAATGCAAACATTGCTACATGTTTTGCATATTTGAAAGTTAAAGCTTAAAAAGAATGTCAACAGCTCTTGAATATGACGTATGCAGCCGAATCATTGTGCATCTGGTGGTATAAGGACTCTTTGAAAGGGATGGTTCTAAAATGAAATCCCTGCTCGGCTGATTCTTACTATGTACCCCATTTGCTTTTTGAGCTCAAATCATTCTAATTATTGACAAACATTTATTATTGTTCGTTTGTAAGCGTTTATAAAGTGTTCATTTATTATAGATATAGCCTCAATCTAATACAGTTCCAGGACACAGACACTTAATTAGCATTCAAGTGATTGCTCTTTCTTGTACTCTCTTTATCCTTCTGCAGTGCTCATGGACATACCGCGAAACAAAAGAGATTTCTTTACACAACTTGATAACTAACATGGAATCTCATTCTCAAGTTGTGAGTATTCCCTTTCTTCTTGTATTTTCTAGCTTGGTTTTTTCATTTCAGTTCTAAAACGCATCTACTCAAGTTAAGGTGTTCATCCAAAAATTTTGTCTTATTTATTTTAAATGCATTCGTTTTCCAGATCTCCCTTTTTTTCGTGCCATGGCATCGACTGCCGTAGACGGATCATGGCGCACCCTCTCTATTTACTCCTGTCTCTTGGTATCTTGCCAAACTGTTTCCATATCTAAAACCTAATCGCTTAACCATCGAAACCTGCATCTTTGATCTTTGTCTTTCTCTCTCTCCTTATCTGCCATCTCAGCCTCTATTATCTTGTCTTTCTATACCCCCTTCTCTTCCCAACTCGTGGTCAATGAAACCCCATCGCCTTCTTATAATAGTAATCAACACTGCTTTTTCATTCTAACCAGATACAGCACTTTTAAATTTATCAAAAGCTTTTCCGTGATATTTTCATCATATTTTTCCAGAACCTAGAGCTTCAAGCCTTTTTCCTTGGTCTTAATTACCGTCCATGACTCACATCCATACAACAATACTGATCATATATAGCACTTCTATTATTCAACACTTTTTAATATTCAATCCAACGCAATCCTTTCTAATATCCATTCTATCTTTCTTGAATACAAAACATCCTCATATCTATAAACAGTTGCTTTTTCTCAATTTATTTTCTGCATATAGTCGAGGCTGCAAATTGCAGTAAACTTCATAGTGTATACACAAGTTTCATTATTTTAAGAGGAAATTTTTTTAATACGAAGGGAATGCAATAACTCTTTATCTGATTATTGTAATGATCAGTTGTGTTCATTTCAGTTTTAAAATTCAAAGCATACAAGTTTCAAAATAAGCATTAGGTAGAATATTCGAAGATAGAGTTAAAAGATATATATTTTTGCAATCGTATGATTTCAAAGAATGCGTTTAGTGCAAGGGAATAATTTTACAGTCACGGTCGAAAAATGAAACCTTCAATTCATTTATTATATTTATTTAGTATTCACTATAAAATTGTGCAAAGTATTGTAAACATGCTAAATACAATATTTATTTGCTAAACATGCTAAATACAATAAAAATATTTAGCAATTTGTTAAAAACAGATGGATTTTCAGTTGACGACAAAAACATTTTATCTTTGAGAGACATCGTTTGATGTTGATCGGAATGTCATTTCAGTATTTGGCATCTGTAAATCTAAAGAATCTTGTACCTTGCTACAAAATATTATTGCGATTCAAGAAAATGTCCCCAATACGTGCATTGTTTGTATCATATCGATGAATAGATGTCAATAAGTAGAAATAGTCATGAAAATATAAAGGAGAAATGTTGTTAACACATTCATTCACAAAACCCAGAAGTTTTAGATAAGATAAATATACAATTCAAGACTTTTATTGAAATGAGCATTGCTTTTGTGCAGGAATCGTTTCTGCAGGATCTGATCGGCAGAATACTCATGCGGCTTCTAAAAGGACACTCGTTTTTAAAGCATTCAGAAGTGGTTTTGTTGTATAAGCAATTCACTGTGCTATCCTACGTTATTGAATACAGCCCAGCATTGTCAAAATTTTTGTCGGACCATTATTACGAAGAATTTAGGTAAGATTCTCTATTTTGAAAATTCACTCATTTTATGATTTATCGGTTCAATGATTCGGTTTTTAGCTATTGCAGGAAATATAAGCAGTGTTACTCTCCTTTACGTCTTCTGAATTTGAAAATTCTAAACGAATCATGACTATGAAGCATTTTATACGGTCTCTATGTTTAACCCGTAAAGCGTTCTAGAATGATTGTCAATCTTTGGTATTTCTATCATTACATGTTTTGGCATTTTCTTATTTGGCAATTTGAGCATCATTACCGCCATTAGCATCATCGTGAACTTAAAAAGATTTATATTTTCCATTTTTTCAATGCAACGTTCATTCACATTTTTTAGATACTACATTGGTTCACCTAAACACTTGAGTCGGATACCGGAATGTCCGGTTGCGCCAATGCTCCGAGCAGTAATAGCTGAAGTAATCGATCTCATGATAAAGCAGTAATAGAAAGCAGTCCCTCCATCGATTCACCTGCGGCTTTTCATGTTATGATGACGTTTTGTTGATATGTTCAAGAAAATAATGTATTTTAGGTGCGTTAGCATCTTACGAGCGTGATTAGATTTTTATCCTGTTTGCGTTCATTTTTATCTCTATGAAAATGAGAGCTGGACTTTCTTATAATTTATTTGCATGTATTGTTAATGCTTTAAAAGATGTTACGAAAATTTGGGCTGGGTTTTTCGTGTTCGGCCTGATTCTTACAGTCAGCCATGTGACAGAATTGGAATTAGGCAATAGGGCAACCCTTTCCGGTTCCCTTGCTGTTATTGAAGCCTGAAGCACACAGTAGAAATAGCCTGAAACATTACTTGACCAATTTCGTCTTGCCTTAGCCAGTTGCAATGATCATGACATGGCAATTTTCAATAATTCTTCGTTGGAACTTGACATAAACGCAGGTTTAATTGGTCTAGTAAAGTTTTCCTTTAATCCTAAAGAAATGTCAGGCTTCACCTGATGTGCGTAATTCTTATTCTGTTGCCATGCAACATTAGCTAACGACACTTAGCAACGGTAACTCACGCATCTTCTTTGTGATAGCCTGCGTGCAGACTCAAAATTTTCTACGTGAAATAGTAGAGTCTGCACGCAGGCTACTTTGTGAAGTTCTGAGTGTTGACGTATGGTGTTTCTGTTGAATAAAGGACTTGTACTTAATTTATTCATTATGAAATTTATGGGTATCCTGAATTTATAACTGTTATAGTAACATAATTATAAACTTCAGACTAACCTTGTTTACGATCAGTGATTAGATAATAGGAATCGCTTATTAGAAGATCAAAATCACTGATTAGATGCATGATAGCTGATTTAAGGATTGCTCGCACTATTGATTCAAATTAACGGAAGAAGCAGCACGATCCATTCGGCGATGATTACATTATTATTTAATCGGTTCAGCTGCATCATTTATTAGGCATTGTAATTTCTTTGCTTCATATCCATATTAAATCAAATAGTCAAACAGTTCTTCGTGGTCAGCAATGTTATCCCAGCGCGCCTTTGACCACGACTCTATAGGCCAGCTCTATATCACCTATTCGCAAGAGGTTTTTCAAACTTGCATGGCCATGTATTTGTTCTACATGCAAAAGAATTTCATTTGATTTTGCAAGTTCTTTCCAAGATAACTTTTTATCGATAACAAATTTGAAAGACATTGAATAAATTTTTCACCTTTTTTCACTTTCTTTCTGAAAAGAAAGCTATCTTTCCTGTCATTCACTACATGTAAAATTGTTATATGATTTTAAACGAAACATAATAATCTCAAAAACTGTACATAATATTCTCAATAACCGTGATACATAATAATCACAATGACCGTCCATAAAGGAACTCGATAACCGTCAACAAGAATCCTATAATAATAAAAGAGGAACTCAAAACTGTACACAATAATCCCAAAAAACCGTATATAATATTCTCAATAACCGTGATACATAATAATCACAATGACCGCCCATAAAGGAACTCGATAACCGTCAACATGAATCCAATAATCATAAATAAAGAACTCAAAACTGTACACAATAATCCCAATAACCGTACATAATATTCTCAATAACCGTGATACATAATAATCACAATGACCGTCCATAAAGGAACTCGATAACCGTCAACAAGAATCCTATAATCATAAATAAGGAACTCAAAACTGTACACAATAATCCCAATAACCGTACATAATATTCTCAATAACCGTGATACATAATAATCACAATGACCGTCCATAAAGGAACTCGATAACCGTCAACAAGAATCCTATAATCATAAATAAGGAACTCAAAACTGTACACAATAATCCCAATAACCGTACATAATATTCTCAATAACCGTGATGCATAATAATTATAAATAAGGAACTCAAAATTGTACACAATAATCCCAATAACCGTACATAATATTCTCAATAACCGTGATACATAATAATCACAATGACCGTCCATAAAGGAACTCGATAACCGTCAACAAGAATCCTATAATCATAAATAAGGAACTCAAAACTGTACACAATAATCCCAATAACCGTACATAATATTCTCAATAACCGTGATGTAATAATTATAAATAAGGAACTCAAAAATGTACACAATTGAATCCCAATAACCGTACATAATATTCTCAATAACCGTGATACATAATAATCACCAATGACCGTCCATAAAGGACACTCGATAAACCGTCAACAAGAATCTATAATCATAAATAAGGAACTCAAAAAACTTACCAATATCCCAATAACCAACATAATATTCCAATAACCGTGATACATAATAATCAAACAATAAACCGCCCATAAGGACTCGATAACCGTCAACAAGAATCCTATAATCATAAATAAGGAACTCAAAACTGTACACAATAATCCCAATAACCGTACCATAATATTCTCAATAACCGTTGATACATAATAATCACAATGGACCGTCCATAAAGGAATTCGATAACCGTCAATAAGAATCCTATATCATTAAAAGAGAAACTGAAACTTACACAATAATCCCAATAATCGACATAATATTCTCAATAACCGCGATGCATAATATCACAATAACCGTCCATAAAGGAAATCGATAACCGTCAATAAGAATCCTTAATCATAAAAGAGAAACTGAAACTGTACACAATAATCCCAATAATCGTACATAATATTCTCAATAACCGTGATACATAATAATCACAATAACCGCCCATAAAGGAATTCGATAACCGTCAATAAGAATCCTTTAATCATAAAAGAGAAACTGAAAACTGTACACAATAATCCCAATAATCGTACATAATATTCTCAATAACCGTGATGCATAATAATCACATTAACCGCCCATAAAGGAATTCGATAACCGTCAATAAGAATCCTTTAATCATAAAAGAGAAACTGAAAACTGTACACAATAATCCCAATAATCGTACATAATATTCTCAATAACCGTGATGCATAATAATCACAATAACTGTCCATAAAGGAACTCGATAACCGTCAATAAGAATCCTATAATCATAAATAAGGAACTCAAAACTGTACACAATAATCCCAAAAAAACCGTATATAATATTCTCAATAACCGTGATGCATAATAATCACAATAACCGTCCATAAAGGAACTCAGTAACCGTCCATAAGAACTCATTAAATGTACAGAATAATCTCAAAACCGATCATAATAATCTCAATAACCATGAATAATAAGCTCAATAACAGTGCATAAGAATCCAATAAGCGCGTATAAGGAACTCAATAATCGTACATAATAACCTCATTAACTGTGCGTTAGAATCTCATTAACCATGCTCATATAAGGAAGTGAAAAACGGGACATAAGAACCTCTTGTCCATTAGATTTTAAATTAAATTTTTAGCGATTTAAGATCATTTTTAAGGCTCGAAGGTTGTATTTGAAGTTAAGGGGATCTATGAAATGAATAATTTCTCTGTTAACGGATGCAAAGCGCAAAGAAAAAGGCCAAAACAATAGTGAAACTAAGAAAATGCTCAATTTCGCAATGCCAAGGGGGCAACTAGCCCTTCTGCCCCCCTGGCGTAGGCGTCCTTGATCCAGGCACTACCACTTTCAATGGTTTTCACTCCTAAAAGCAAAAGCTCTGCAAAGAATCAGGCGTCTGAATCTGTAGCCAAATGCTTACCCAACTGAAAACTAACCAGCTTTTGGCTGATAAAAACTAGCTATTCAAAAGAAGGTCGCTTGCGGCACATGAATGGCAGGGGCATGGGAGAACGGAGTCAAGTGAGGCACGTCCTTTTTGAAAAGTGCAAGTTGTTTTAGTGGTGGCCTCTTTAGAATATCCTGTAGATCTGTGCAGTGCCCTGAGACAAAAACAGTGCAAAGTTACAACTCTGAAAGCAGACAGAAAAATTCAATTTAAAACTGGGAGGAATCCTTTCTATTGACTTTAAACGGACCTGGGAATGAAGTAGTGCTCGGCACTTCTGCACCGATGGTATACATAAAGACCAAGAAGCTACAACAGCATCGTAAGAGTAAGCGTATTCTTCGTACACAGCCACAACAAGATACCTATTTTCAATCAAGGCATTGTGCTGGCTGTATTTCTATCACGCTTCGACGCCAAACTTTCAATTACCCTTCATTTTGCTGGCACATTATTCAGACTTTAGAGCTCATTAATACAAACTACATTTTGATTATTTTATATTCTGCTGAACAGAAGAAAGAAGCTGAGTTCAAAATACACAAATATATGCAAAGAAGAAAAACAACTGATTAACTGCTCGACGTTTTCTCACAAAATTTTAACACTAAAAACTGTATATTTTCCTAATTCCTCTTTTTCATTGAATTTGGAGTTATTTAGGCCTTTCTTATTTCTTGTACTTTACCAAATATCCGTTTCCAGGTTTGACGCCCTATATGGCATGCTGTTTCCTTTCTCTGTATTTGTTTTTGTAATGGATATTTTGTTTTTTGACACATAATGATTCGATGTGATTGACACAATTTGCAACATGTTCAAAGCGTTTTGCAACATGGACAAAAACGTTTGACATTTTGCGGAGTGTGAAACACCAAATAATGTCTTCAGAGCTTGGGTGGAAGTTGGTATCAAGATGCAGAGACATTATGTCTTAGGAAAAATAGTGTTTTGAAGTCCAAGGTATCAAACACTGAATAGTCAGATATTATAATTATTTCATTTTGTTATCATTATGTCTTTATGTGGGTCTATCCAACAAATTTTCACTGTCTTTGCTGGTTAGGCCCTCTAGCAAAAGATGTAAGTGAACCTTTGGCAAAACAGGTTGCCATTGTGGATAATTATGCTTTCTGAAGTATGTCGATGATTATGTAAATCGAAATTCAAGATAAATAACGAATGGTCATAAAATTTATACAAAAAATCTAAAAAATGCGAGAAATTGCAACAACTTTATATGTTATGCACTTTGTGTCAACTCAAAAACAACCTGAAACGTAATTGTAACAATTGGTATTTATATAAATATAACAAATTGAATTTAAAGACAAGCAATTTGATTAAAATGAATTTTGTTGCATCTTCAAAAAGATTACCAGAACATAAACTACAGAATATAACACAATTTTTAGATATCTAAATTTGGCTTACTGCACTAGCTAAAATTGGGGTATTCAAAGGTGCAGGAAGAAACCAATAACAAAATATTATTGTGTCTAGAAACAACTGGAAAATATCTTACAGAGTAAAAGCAAAAGTATTATTATCTAAAGATATTATATCATATATCATATTCGAAAGAGATTAAATATTTTAGCTTAAGAAAAGATCACTAAGCCTAGAAATATATGGGACTCAAAAAGAGTCATTTAAAATTGCAGGAGGAACAGAGGTTGTCAAAACTCATTTGCAAAATCAAAATGTTGAGCGTCTGACTCAAGCAGAGATACCACGTTGCATTCATGATCTCCTTTTGATAACTTGTGGGTCACCAATGTTTGGTAGCAAGCTATCGTGGGCGGGAATTGTGCGCGGGTATTGTGCGCGGGTGTCGTGGGCGGGAATCGGCGTGTACTCTCGTTTAAAACATGTCAGCAACACGACACAGTTCGGTCTACTTATAATTTATGACATGAGCTCTTTGGACTGCACAACCACCGACTGTAGCTAATTGCTAGATTTCTAGCTCGTAACATTCTACTGAAAACGTAGGCATTTACAAAACCCGACAGAGCTTCTTAAAACCCAAGTGTAAAAATGTATCATTGTGAAAAAACCGAATAAATAGTAAAAAGCGATAAAAATATTCTTGCACAATAACAGATGAAACATCTTTATTAAATGTTGCAATAATGAAAAATGCCCTTATCCTTCATTTGAATAGTTTCTAAAATTATGCAGCATAAATGTCTTTAGAATTCATTAAAATACTAATATGTACAAAGTTGCTAGTATTCGTTTTTAGACATGAAACGTAATTAGATGTCGAAACTTTAAACAGAACTTAACAACAGGCTGGCTACAAACAGGCGTCTAGGAAGGTCAATAAGAAAAAGTTAAAATGTTAGCACAGCTAATTCTCTTCAATTTAGTTTTTTGTTAAAAAGTTAATATGGCGATTATAAAATAATTCAAAAATATCTAGAAAAATACTTCTTTATCGCAGGCTTTCATATATATATATATATATATTTATATTATATATATAATTTTGTAACTAATAGCTGATTCTATACCACCGTAAATTGTAAGTAGCACTCGGTTGTCATCCAATTTCGCCATTCTCTTTCATTGCAGTTTCATTGGTTTCAGATAATTCTATCAAGTTTATTTTTGAGAAGATGTCATTCCTCTTTTAAGAAGACTCGTGTTTCTCTTTCAGATCTTAAGAGATTGTAAATATCCCTTTGATATTGTAAAAAAGAACTAATGTCTTAACAGAACATTAAAGATCTCGCTCCGTTTGGCGAGCAACAATATTACCGCAACAGAACGTTGAGTGATGTCATGTGCAAAAATTGGAAGGACGCGTTGAAGCCGATTGAAAAATGGATTACCAAGCACTCTACTCAGTCAGTACCTGCAGTTTTGTGTTATCCTGAACACCAGAAGGGAGGAACCATAATTTTCACAAAACTATTACACCATGTCTTGGTTGTCCATTGACATGCATTTATGATCAACATTTTAAGTTTTTTCATAAAACTTTTCTAACATTTGCTATTTAAATAAACAAT